GACTTCCTGACAGTGCTAGTATATGATAATGGACTGGACTACATAGAAGGGTGGTAGGCTTTTCTTATTGGGTGTTTTTAAGCAGAGGGTGGGTTACCATCTGTCAAGGATAACCTGTGTATTTTCTGCGCCAACAGGGATTTGGATTAGATTATTTTAGTGATCACTTCCAACTCTACTAATGTATTATTCAGCTTTGGATTTTGCTTGGAAACAAACTGGGAGCTAAAGAAGTAGTTCCAGGTCTAGGTATAATTTGGTCTACAAAACACACTTCGGGGGGGGGAGTCCAATAACTACATTTTTCACAGCTGCAAAAGGAACTCCGTTGAGCACATTGCAATAACGTTGGCTCTTTTCTATGTCCTGCAGGCATGCAGTGACAAAAACAAAAATTAGGCCCACTTGAGAAGCCAACTATCAGCATTGTCTGCAATGCTTGACCTCAACAGTAGCTATTAACACAGCAGAGTGCAGAAGCACAAACTCAATTAGTGGTACTTGGCAATATTGCACTGACCAATCTTGAATAATGCACAAACACAGTTAGATTCTTCCAAAAGTTCTTGGAGGCTTTTATCACTTGTTGCAATATGCACAAGTTATATACAAACTCTCCTGTAACTCTCTCCAACATTCACTGTCTGATATACAGCAATTCACTCTCCACAAACAACTCACACTGCAAACCATTGTCTTCAACCAACACCTGTCCTGGGTTTTAGAGCACTTATATACAGTAGTGATGACTAAGGGTTAAAACCAGGTGTTAGTTCTCATTTACAGCCATACAAACTATTTTACACTGTCTTAAAGGAACATTGTTCCTAACATAATCTAAACAAGGGCTGATTGTGGTATGAATTCCTACAGCTAGATCTTGTTTCCTTGAGAAAGAGGATGCATGGCTACAAGGGTTTTCCCATAGTTGGTCTCTAGAGTGAATCAGTAATGTTTCACATTATAGCACATGGAAATAACTAGGTCATGCAGGTGTTTACAATACTTTAACCTTTCAACCTGAGCCATTTCCATTTGCATGGAAAGACCCAACGTGAGCAAGACTAATTCCATCAATATACATGCAGAACATCCATGTGACATTACCAAAGCAGGATAACCCAACCACCAGGGAGATGGTTTTTAAAAATAGGAATGCTGCAAAGGTACCATATACAGTGACCATTTCCCCATGTTTACTTGTTTTATTATTCTGATGTGTATAGTAGTGGTGGTGGAGAAAGTAGTATCTAGCATTCCTGACCTAAAGGATCTTTGGATCTTTAAAGTTATGGGTATACAGTGGCCCAATTCAAATATCAATGTGTTATTTTAAAAAAATAATTATAATCTAATATTTTAAACTGGTTTATTACATTGAGGATGAGCATTGCGTTCATGCGTTCACTCCTCTCCTTTTGTTCTCCTTTATTTCACATTCTAACTTTATGGATATCAGCACTTTTAAATTCAGACTAAAATTGAGACTGAATCCACCACCACAACATGGGCATGGATATCACCAGCTGCCATCAGAAGCCAATGCCAAACCCTCTCCTCCAAACTGGGTTTTATTGGATGAGCAGTTTGTTCAATATTCACAGATGCCTCTCATCAACACACTTCAATAGCACGCTAACAGAAGCAGCTGGAATCATACAAATGTAAATTTTCTAAGTAGCAAATCAAGTGTGAATACAAACTATGGGACAAAACCTTGGCACAGAGCTTCCAATCACATGGAAGAGGAAATATCCTCCCCTTGGGCAGTCTGGTATGTAGCTCTGTAGTGATGATAGATTGTGAAACTGTGTGGATCAAAATGCTGAGGCTTAAGTCTTCTGTTGCATTGGGCAGACCACATTAGAATAAATAATTCCATAATGTGTTTCAGATGTGAAAGCAAGGAGAATTCAGCAGGAATAACTAGATGGATTCCCCCTTCCCACCCCTTCACACCCCCCACACACACACAGATTACGAAATAATAATGTTAATATGTTCTCCCACTGAGTTTTAGAAATGCACTGTGTAGTTTGTGTATCTGTTGAGGGGAACTTGGATTGTTATGTTAATTGAATGTGCATAAGTATGAATCAGAAAATACATGATGACCCAGCAGCTTTGAAGGGGGTGCTAACCATGGTATGCAGGAAGAATCTAGACAAGAGGTTCATTGCTGTTACAGAGCTGCTAGATCTGCATGAAGCTGCTCAATATGGTGAAGCACCAAACTCCTCATGGCAACCTTCATGGTGAAGAAACTTCTGAAGCTGGACTGACTCCACTAACCAACGCTAGTCAATGGAAATCTTCAAGACAGGAAGGAGTTCTGAAGAGTTCTTAAAAGCAGCCTTCCTAATCAGTATTTGTGGGCAAACAAACCAGACAAGATAGAACAGGAAGGCCATTCAAAAAGTGACATGACAGTGATTTTGGCAATGATAGAAAGACCAAGGATACAAAAATCCAGCTGGATTCATGTGGCTCATAGACCATTTTGTACTCTCTCCTGGCCCTGATCCAGCAGACACCTCTCCTTTGAAGCCCAGGTTGTGAAGTTGTGACCAAGAGGGAATTTTTTGAAACTCTTTCCTTAATCAATTCAATATTCTATTAAGAAGACCTCTTCAGTAATGGCACCTTGGTTATGGAATGCCAAGAAAGATTCCACCTGGTGTTTATTTTATTGTCCTTTTGGAAAGAGACCAAAAATGTTTTAGTTTTCCTAAACTGTTTAAACACATGCTGGAATCTTATTAGTGACATATATGCATGAAAGTCAGGATTACACTGTGCTATAATCTCTTTTTGGACATTGTGCAAGGAACTATTTGTGAATTCCTTGCACGATGTCCAAAATCTCCTTCAAGATAGCTATCAGCCCCAGAGTTCTGCTATAACCAATTACTGGCCAGAGAAGGGAAGGGGGAAGAAACCAGACAGTTCCCATCCCAGCTGTAGTTTGGCAGCCAGAGGAAGAGAAGTGAAATCGGGGTACATCTGTGCTGTAGAAATCATGCAGTTTGACACTACATTACATGCTACAGCTCCATCCTATGAAATCCTGGGATTTGTAGAATCATAGAATCATAGAGTTGGAAGAGACCA